TCACTTTATATATCAAGCTTCTTCAATATGATCAACTATCAACCAATCTCTTGTGTACAAATGAAGGATCACTTCCTTCTTGCCTCAAGTCTCACTCGATCAAGCAAGGAAGTTTTACAATCACACGGATAACTCTCACAAAGCTACACTATTGAAGAAATTGAATCACACTTGAAAAGCTAAAAAGAGATGACACAACTAAGGGTACAAATCTTCCTTTTGAAGTATTCACACACTTGAATCACTCAAGATCTGATGTAGACTTAATGTGTAAAAGTGGTTTTGAAGAGTTGACTAATCCCTATTTATAAGAGACCAAAAAATTTTTCAATTAATGCTGTCAACGGATAGAAGGCAGATGGAAGGTCAGCTAGCCGTTGGTAGTGTCGGAAGTCCGGTACTCTGATTTTATGCGTCCGAACGAAGACAGTGAGTTCAATATGATTTCTTGCAATTCTTAGGACGTCCGGTCCCTCCACAGTATACGTCCGAAAGTAAACTTGCAAATCCTTCTTCATTTCTATCGGACATCCGATGCTCCAGTGTTTTGTGTCCGAAGTGCAGTTACGTTTGTCGGACGTCCGGTATAGAGGTATTGTGTGTCCGAACGAGGTCAGTGATCATAGATGTTTTGATATTTTACCTTCGGACATCCGAGTGTGAGTTCTTCATGCGTCCAAAGTTACTCAATGGTTGTCGGCCGTCCGTTATGGTTCTTTTGTGCGTCCGACAGTAAATTGTCAAACCTTGATCCAGTTTTGGCTTCAGGTCTTTGATCTAGTTTTTGTTCCAAATCCTGAAATGAACTCTTCAAAGAATATTAGTAGCATCCAATTGATTTGTAATCATCAAAAGTTATGAATTGAGATATACAATCTCCCATTTTTTGATGATGACAAAATATTGGATGGATCAAAAAGGATTGAACTCCCTCTTAACTCGACTCCCCCTAGTTTATAGATTTCATGACCAGAGTATTCGCAACTCCCCCTCATTTATACGATTCATATCCATTTTCTTTCCCTTTTTGTCATCATAAAACAGCCATACCAACATTCAATAGACATTATCAATTTGACAAACCAGAACAATATATGAACATTCAGCAAATGATAAAAGCATCCATTCATAGAAGAAAAACATCAGTTAACAGAATAACATCATTTTTACAGACCAAAAGAGGATTATGATCCTCAATTTATAGCAGAAGTTTTTCAATGCAAAAGATGAACTAATGTCCTAATGATGAAATGCAAAGTCCTAGTAGTGCTTAGATGGTAATTTTCAATGATCCAGGCCTTCTCCTGGTTAGACGAAACTGCTCAGGATCCATTTGGTCTTCATCCTCAGTGTCCTCATCATCATCCTCAGTTGTCTCCACAGTTACAGGAGTCTTGCCTTTATCTTTGGATTGAGAGCTGGAAGCATGTGCCTCTGGAGTGGCTTCAGGACCAGGAGTATGCTCTGTGGGCTGAGGTCTTGGCTCTTTTTGATGAGCACTTTCATTGAATTCAGGGATTGGAGGCACGAGGAGATTCCTTTTTTCAATGAAGATGGACTGCTGGGCAGGAGACATGGTCATCATGAGACCATCTTCAATGAGCAGAACATGTTGTTTGAGATCCTCAAGCAAGGAGATGACCTCAGAATTGAAAGAGAATGACTTACTAGCTGATTTTCTAGGGTGGAAGGTGAATGGAGAGACATACATGGATTGATCACGAGGAGTCCTAGGAGTGACAGGGGTTTCCTGAAGATTTTTTCTCCTAGTTTCTGCCACAGTTTCCTTATAACACCAATGCCCCTCAAAAAATTTCAGATTCTTTCCCTCAAAATACGCTTGTGAGAAAACTGTTGAGACAGTCTTTGGGTGATTTTTCAGTAAAAGGAATTTTAAAATAGGCAAAGATAGGAGTCAGAAATTTTTCATAAGAGAGTTTCCTACGACTATCAGTGCTAATCTTGAGCAGAAATTTACACATCACAAACCCAAAGTCAATTCTGATTTTTTCAACAAAACAGTAAAAGAGATAAAGCTCCATTTTGTTCGCATCAGTTCTGTGGCCATCAGTGGGCACCAACAGATTTGAAATGATGGTAAAAATTATCAAGTTCTGAGAACTAAGATCTTCTAATCTTGCCTCAGCAGAAGTGTTGAAATGTGATTGAAAATAGGTCATGAGTTTAGCAATGTGAAAATGATGATAGGCAGAGGGATATTCTTCATATGAAAAGAAATTTGCAACTTTTCCTTTAAAACCAGATTCAATACTTGTTTTCAGAATGGAATTCACAATGTCAGGAGTTAACGCGATGTCTACAGAGTTGACCCTAGAGATGAGTTCAGTGTGTGAGTTACCCTTTCTGAGATTTGCAAAGAACTGATAAAGCATATCAGGGTAATAAGTATTGGGAATGGACAGAAAATGAATCCATTTTTGGAACTCAAAGAACTTAATAATAGGTTCGAGGGCAAGCTTACGAAATTCAGGAGGAAAAATAGTCCTTTGAGTGATGAAACCCTTTTGTGAGACCAACTCAAATCTGTCTCTGGCCTCATCATCAATGAATTTTGGCAGAAGAAAAGGTTCCTTATCAAGCTGAGTCACTGGTTCCTTTCCAGACTGTTTCCTTTTTGCAGTTTGCTTGGCAGATAACTCAGTATTCTGAACCTCAGGCCTTGTCCGTGGAGATTTTCTGGTAGATGGCTTAGGGGTGTGCTGAACCTCAGCATTTTTCTCTGCATTTGATTGAGGAGTGCTTCCCTTTTGGGCAGACCTTTTTCTTTTCCCAGGTGATTTCGAGACAGTCACTTCAGCATGAGTGGGTTCCTCTATTTCTTCTGCACTCCTACCACCTAGATTTTCTTCAGAGTGATGCTCTTCCATCTGCTCATCAGATGGCTCAACAGTTGGAGCATCGCACTTCCTTTGAGCAGTTTGCTTTACCTTCCCACCTCTGTTTGCAGTTTTCTTTTTGGATGCTTTGGTAGAGGGTTCCACAATTTTAATATTCTCATCCCTAAGTCTAAAAGATTGTCCGACCCCCGTAGAACCATCTCTAATTCTAACCATGGTGTAATGTAATCGGATGTTGATGTAGGAAGTGGTGTAAAGTGTATAAGATAGATGAAGAGTGCAATATGAATTAATGTTGATGCACAAACCAACCACAAGAAGTCTGATTTGAAAACTTAGGGTTTCTGATATAAATTAAGGAAATGTGAGGCAGTTGGGAGTTGGAAGAGATTTTTATGTTCAGACAACGGGCAATAGGGATGTAATGGTGTCGATTGAATCAATTTCTTGGAACTTGATTAGAGGAGAGAGTAATTTGAATTTTGAACTTTGAGAGAGAACTGAAGGGTTGCGTCCGAGACAAAGAAAGTTAATGAATTTAATGAGGTAGGTGGCTTCCTTATATGAAGCAATTTTTGAGTGTCGGACGGCCGAACGAAGTGAATCTTCCGACTCAATCGTCCGAACCAAAATTTTCCAGAAAAGAATGAAGAACATTGTCGGATGTTCGTTTTTAATCTATCGGACGTCCGATAAGAAGAAACTTAGAGAATTTTTTCTGAGACGCCCAGTTTTGTTCTCAGATACACAAATTGATCCAGTGGAAGGGCTTTTGTGAGGATATCAGCAATTTGATCTTTAGAACAAACATATTGAACACAAATTTCACCCTTGTGGACAAGATCGCGAATGAAGTGATGCTTAATGTCTATATGCTTTGTCCTAGAATGTTGAATGTGATTTTTTATCAAATTAATGGCACTGGTGTTATCACAAAACATAGGTACGGAATTATACACTAAACCAAAATCATTCAAAGTGTTTTTCATCCACAACAATTGAGCACAGCAAGCACCAGCAGCAACATATTCTGCTTCGGTTGTAGATAATGAAATGGCATTCTGTTTCTTGCTGAACCAGGATACTAAGTAATTTTCAAGAAAATTACATATACCAGTTGTACTTTTTCTATCTACTCTACAACCACCAAAATCAGCATCAGAGAATCCACACAAGGGAAGTTCATGACACTTAGGATACCAAAGGCCAAAACTTACAGTTCCTTTTAAATATCTAAAGATTCTTTTTACCGCAGTTAAATGTGATTCCTTTGGACAAGATTGAAAACGAGCACATAAGCACACAGCAAACATGATATCAGGTCTATTAGCTGTTAAATAAAGTAAACTACCAATCATACATCTATACTTCTTTTCATCAACTTTTGTACCTTCTTCATCTTTGTCAAGCTTGACAGATGTGCACATGGGTGTTCCAACTTGCTTTGAGTCCTCTATTCCAAATCTTTTCAGCAGTTCCTTGGTATATTTGGTTTGATTGATGAATGTTCCATCTTGGGTTTGTGTCACTTGGAGTACAAGGAAGAAATTCAGTTCTCCCATCATGCTCATTTCAAACTCTTTTTTGTATGATTTTGGAGAAATTCTTGCACAGTCTCTCATTAGTAGCACCAAATATAATATCATCCACATAAATTTGTACAATTAGAAGATCATTTAAACTTTATTTAGTGAAAATGGTAGTATCCACTATACCTCTTTTGAAACCATTTTCAATCAAAAAACCACTCAAACGCTCATACCATACTCTTGAAGCTTGTTTTAAACCATATAGAGCTTTTGAGAGTTTAAAAATATGATTTGGATAATTTTTATTTTCAAAACCAGGAGGTTGACCAACATAAACTTCTTGATCTATAAAACCATTTAAGAAAACACTTTTAACATCCATTTGAAATAACTTAAAATTCTTGAAACATGCAAAAGTTAAAAACATTCTAATAGATTCTAGCCTGGCTACGGGTGCAAATGATTCATCATAATCTATTCCCTCTTCTTGAGTGTAACCCTTAGCTACCAATCTGACCTTGTTTCTAACTATTTCGCCTTTGTCATTCATTTTGTTTCTAAAAATTCATTTAATGCCAATAATAGGATGATCTTGTGGTCTAGCAACTAATGTCTAAACCTTATTTCTTTCAAATTGATTTAACTCCTCTTCCATGGCCAAAATCCAGCTCTCATCATTTAATGCATCAGCAACATTTTTGGGCTCAAGATGTGAGACCAATGCAAAGTTATCTATTAATTGTCTAGAGAAGGAACGTGTTCTGACCTTTTCAGATGGATCCCCAATGATAAGTTCCTTGGGATGATTTTGAACGAATTTCCAGGCTCTTGGAAGATCATTTGGAATTTCAGTGTCACTGTCATTGTCTTCTCTAGCAAGACTGTCTTGATTTCCATCTTCCTTTGAATTATTTTCTGATGGAGCTGTGCCTTGATTGCTGATTGTTAGCCTCTTTAATTCTTCTCGAATACCTGCACCATATCTTCACCGCAACTCATAGAAGTGTCACCATTAGATTCATCAAAAGTGATATGTATAGCTTCTTCTATAACTAGAGTTCTACGATTATAAACTCTAAAACCTCTCTTGTTTTCACAATATCCCAAGAAGATTCCCTCATCAGATTTTTTATCAAACTTACCAAGATGCTCCTTGATGTTCAGAATGAACCATTTGCAACCAAAAACTTTAAAGTAATCAACTACAGGTTTTTTATCAAACAACAGCTCATATAAAGTCTTGTTCAAGATTGGTCTTAAGAGAACTCTGTTCATGGTATAGCATGCAGTGTTTATAGATTCAACCCAAAAGTACTTTGGTAAATTGTATTCACTGAGCATGGTTCTATTAGCTTCTTGAAGAGTTCTATTTTTCCTTTCAACTACTCCATTTTGCTGAGGTACTCTAATAATAGAAAACTCATGTATAATGCCATTGTTGTCACAAAATTCTGGAAATCCACAAAAATGAAATTCTGTGCCATTGTCACTTCTTATTTTTATGATTTTCAAATCAATCAGATTTTGAACCTTGGCAAACAGGAAAATAAAATTTTTGAAAGCATCATCTTTATGTGCAAGAAACATCACCCAAGTGTATCTAGAATAATCATCAACAATAACAAAACAGAATCTCTTGCCACCAAGACTTGTGGTTTGAGTTGGACCAAAAAGATCAAGATGTAGGAGTTCTAAGGGTTTTGAGGTAGAAACACATTTTTTTGGTTTAAAAGGTACCTTGACTTGTTTTTCAAATTGGCAAGCATCACAGATGCGATCTTTACAAAAATTGAGTTTTGAAAGTTCTCTAACCAGGTCCTTTTTGAAAATTTCTTTTAGCAACTCCATATTGAAGTGACAAAGCCTTCTATGCCACAACCAGGGATCCTCATTTGCTATTTTGAGACAACTAAGGCTGGAAGCATCAACCTTTTCAAGAATCACCACATAAATGTCATTAACTCTTTTTCCTTTGAAAATAATATTGAACTTTGAGTCAAGAACAAGGCATTCATGTTTCTTAAATAACACGAGCAGGTTTCTATCACATAGTTGACTAACACTCAGCAAATTGTAACTCAGGTTGTCGACTAAAAGAACATAATGAACAAAAGTCTGACCATTCTTACCAACATCACCAATACCAACAGTTTTGACTTTATTATCGTCTCCAAAAGTAACCTTTCCACTTGTTTTTTGCTTGAGCTTGATGAACTGTGATGCATCACCAGTCATATGTCTTGAGCATCCACTATCTATGAACCATTTTGATTCTTTAATACTGTTCACCAGGTTCACCTACACAGTAGTTCACAATATAATGTTTGGTACCCATTACTTTTTGGGTCCATCATGGTTAGCATTATGTCTAATAACCCACATGCATCTCATTCCATTTCTCAAGTTTTTCTTAACATAACAGTTGCTATTCATGTGACCAAATTGACAACAAAAGTTGCATACTGTCATTGGATCAATCAAATAAACAGGTTTAATGAATCTGACTTGCCTTCTCCTATGGATAGCAAACTCATTTACATTTTGATTCAGTCTTATCTGATGAGTGTTAAGGTGAGGTTCAGTGTCATTCTTTTGAAGGCGGTTCTGTTTCATATGATGTAACAATTGACATAAATCATCCATCCTTTTTTTTAGGCTGCATTGTTCACTTTTGAGTATGTCACAGAAATTTATCTTTTTGTTAAGTTCAGCAAGCACATCAATTTCAATTCTTTTTAGGTTCTCATTTTCATGCTTAAGACACTTATTTTGTCTAAAGAGATTTGCATTATCTTGTATTAAAAAGCTAATTTTCTGCTTTAATTCCTTGTTTCTAACATAGGATTCTTTTAAACTGTTATGCATTTTTTCTAGGAAAGAGTTAATATCAACATCAGACTCACTATCACTATCAATTTGAGAGTTACAATGAGTTACCTCTTCATCTCCAATGGCCATGAAAGTCACTTGGGCAGATTCCTCTTCTTCCTCTACTTCTCCTTCTGAATTGCAGTCATTCCAGGTGATCTGAAAATTATTGAATTTTGGTTTTCGTTCACTCTTGTTCTCCTTCTTTTTCTTCATTGGACATTCATTTGCATAGTGACCAGGTTGGCCGCATTCAAAGCACTTATCAGTTTACTTTTTGTTGAATTCCAACTTTCCTTTATTTCTGAAGTTGTTGGACTGATTTGGAAAGGAATTGCTATGTCCTCCTTTTTTGAATCTTCTCTTGTTGAGTATTCTTTTGAAGCCTCGTGTGATGAGTGCAATGTCACTATCATCACCTTCCATGTCATCTCCATCCAGAGAGATTGTATCATCTTCTTCTTGTGAAGTCTTCAGAGCAATGTTTTTTCTAACTCTTGTGTCTTTCTCTTCCTGCACCTTAGACTTGAGTTTTAGCTCGTAAGAGGTGAGTGAATTTATAAGGGATTCAATAGATAAAGTGTTCAGATCTTTGGCTTCCTCAATGGCAGTCACTTTGCTTTCCCAATCCTTTGATAGAGCGTTCAGAATTTTTCTATTTTTCTCACCTAGAAAGTAATCTTTGTCAAGAACTTATAGATCCTTAATAAGATCATTGAATCTGCAATACATCTTATCGATATTTTCGTGAGGTTCCATCTTAAAGGATTCATACTTCGTGACCAGAATAGACTTCTTCTGTTCTCTCACATTTTCACTTCCTTCGTGTATTTCTCGAAGTTTGTTCCAGATTTCTTTTACAGATTTACAGCCATTGACTCTAACAGATTCATTTGAGTCTAAAGCACTGTATAGTACGTTCATCGCCTTGGCATTCAGAGTGAGATGGGTTCTATCTTCAGCAGTTAGTTTCCTTCTTATTTTTGGTCTCGGCCTGTTTGTCTCTGTATCAATAGTAGAGGCATCAAACGGATCTTCATTGACAATAAACCATAGCTCAATATCAATAGATTGTAAGAAAATAATCATCTTTTCCTTCCAACTCACATAGTTTGAACCATTGAACAAAGGGGGTCTAGTTACAGATTGTCCCTCAAAGAACATGGCATTGTTGGTTGTCATTTTTACTCCTAAGCCGATTGAGCTTAATCTCAAGGAGACCAAACTCTGATACCAATTGTAAGGATCGAGAACAACCTAAGAGGGGGGGTGAATTAGGTCATCTAAAAAAGTAAGCTAAGATATGAGTCACCCCCTTTTTTGACCTATTTTTCTTTTTCAAGAGGACCTCACAGAAAAGCAGTTGATAGACTAGCACAAGCAATTTATGAGTAAAACAGGTAAGCAATATATATATATAGCAAGACAGTAAATGAAGGGATAGAATTGCAAACCAAATTTCAAACTTGACTAAGTTTGAATATCACTTTATATATCAAGTTTCTTCAATATGATCAACTATCAACCAATCTCTTGTGTACAAATGAATGATCACTTCCTTCTTGCCTCAAGTCTCACTCGATCAAGCAAGGAAGTTTTACAATCACACGGATAACCCTCACAAAGTTACATTATTGAAGAAATTGAATCACACTTGAAAAGTTAAAAAGAGATGGCACAACTAAGAGTATAAATATTCCTTTTTGGAGTATTCACACACTTGAATCACTCAAGATCTGATGTAGACTTATTGTGTAAAAGTGATTTTGAAGAGTTGACTAATCCCTATTTATAAGGGACCAAAAAATTCTTCAATTAATGCTGTCAACGGATAGAAAGCAGATGGAAGGTCAGCTAGCCGTTGGTAGTGTCGGACGTCCGGTACTCTGATTTTATGCGTCCGAACGAAGACAATGAGTTCAAGATGATTTCTTGCAATTCTTAGGACGTCCGGTCCCTCCACAGTATACGTCCGAAAGTAAATTTACAAATCCTTCTTCATTTCTATCGGACGTCCGATGCTCCAGTGTTTTGCATCCGAAGTACAGCAACGTTTGTCGGACGTCCGGTATAGAGGTATTGTGTGTCTGAACGAGGTCAGTGATCATAGATGTTTTGACATTTTATTTTCGGACGTCCGAGTGTGAGTTCTTCATGCATCCGAAGTTACTCAATGGTTGTCGGCCGTCCGTTATGGTTCTTTTGTGCGTCCAACAATAATTTGTCAAACCTTGATCCAGTTTTGGCTTCAGGTCTTTGATCTGGTTTTTGTTCCAAATCCTGAAATGAACTCTTCAAAGAATATTAGTAGCATCCAATTGTTTCGTAACCATCAAAAGTTATGAACTGAGATATACATCTGAGCTCAACACCTATGGCTAATTACTCGAGTCGGGCCGGCAAGGGCCTGATCGATTAGATAACGAACCATAGTAGTCTGTTTCTGGAAATCTTTGGGTATTGAGACTCTTGATTCCGGTATACTCGAATATTACCACTTCTGTTTCTGTTGAGGTGTTCGGGACCAGTAGGGGTATCATTTCCCTTTGAATCACTGTATCTAACTGCTTTCCTTTATATCTGGTATATGTATCTGATTGGTTAAACATGAAAGGCCATGATTTTACTTCTATATGTTTGGTACCTCATTGAGCTTAAACTCACCCTTTTCTGTTACCTTTGTTTTCCTTACAGGGGACAAATTTGGAAATCACGATTTTGGAAGAAAAGGGTCAAGCTAGCATATATGTCATGTTGTTAAGCTCTTTCAAAAACGAAATCCTAATTATATTTTGTGTAGTATGAATACCTTGGATTGCACTGTATGTTAAGACTCCAATATAAATATATGTATAAGTGTTTAACCTTGTCTATTAAATATATTCCATTGAGACTATGATTTTATGGTTTGGTAAGCATATTCTCACCTTAGTAGTTTTCGATTATTCATTTTCTTTGGGTCCTATCGCGCGTACTATATTGGATTTGTGTGAATCGACTCCGTAGTCCTGGCGAGAGTTTGGCAGGCGGTCCGTCGAACCCTTTGGTTCGTCTTAGGGTGAGGTGGGGCTGTCACAGGTGGTATCAGAACCGCTTCGCGTGGTCTCTGCGCGGAGTGAGTTTGGGCCATGTGGTGTTATGGTCCTGATTTCGTGAATATGTCTAAGTGCTCATTTGAGTATAAGTTATGAACCGTGCATGTCATAAGTGTAAAGATCTTTATCATGGGACTTGAGAACGCTAGGTATGTATGTCGGGTAGGAATCTCTAATATGGGTGATTTACTCTTGGGACCGACTGGTTCGAGTTATGAATTATCTTATTTGGGATTCTTGTGTCCGGCTACTAAATAGATGAGAGCCTAGGTTAGAAAAGATTTGGGCGAACTAGAAATTTGATTCCATGGAACTTCATGCGGTTTGTTCGGGTGTTAGTAAGTATGGTTAACCTGGATTACGATATAAATTGTGGTATTCTCGTAGATTATGGATGGAGGTTTAGAGAGGAAATAACTTTTCGTTAGTTACTTTTGTGCTTTTAACCTAGTTCGTCTATAGTACTTTTGGATGACCCCACTACCTTCATGGATCTCTTTTGTTGTATCTAGTTGACTGCTACTGTGTGACTGGTTTGGTACAGTTGTGTTATGTATATATACTTTTGATCTGTCTGTACCTCTTATTACTTGCTTATGCATATAATTATCTTTAATGGTATATTCACGCTTCGACCCTAGATTGGTTAGACCAATGGAGGGTACTCGTAGTGGACGAGGTTATGGGCGTGGACGTAGACAATTCTCGAATGGAATGGGTAACCAAGAACCAATACCTGAATCAAATCCTGAACCTAGGGTTGACCCAAATACTCAAGTAGCCGCTGCTATCCAATGCATGACTGATCTGCTAGCCCATGTAGTGGAACACCAGGGCCAGAATCCTAATACTCAACCTAGAAATCCTGGTAACCATATAGAGGGAGAGGATAGAGCCCTTGAAAGATTTCAGAAGTTCTCCCCACCAAAATTTCTTGGAGGCCCTGATCCTGACGTGGCTGAGAGGTGACTGGAGAAGATGATTGATATTTTTGCTGCGTTACATTATACTGAGGAGAGACAAGTGACCTTCGATGTCTTCCAACTGGAGGGAGCAGCCCGATCTTGGTGGAATATCATTAGACTGAAATGGGAACGAGAACAAACCTCGAGAACATGGACGAACTTTATGAGGGAATTCAATACCAAGTTTTTTCCTCCTCTAATCCAAGAAAAGAAGGAAGATGAATTCATTCGATTTCGCTAAAGAACTCAGACCGTGGCCGAGTATGAGAGTCAATTTACTCGGTTATCTAAGTTTGCGCCCGAATTG